TGAGGCGGAGCTGGCCCCTATAAACTCAGTGTTACGGCGTATGCTTAGTCCTCCGACATAAGAGCTGGAAAAAACTCTGCCTCGCGAAACCCAAATGTTTACTGAGCTAAGCAGAAACACTCTTGTTTTCCATGCTTACCTCCTTGATTGTGGTATTTCTTCCCCTCCATGAAAACCACCATCTTCCTCCCTTTCTGGGCATCTTATCCCTCATGATAGAGTCCACCGTGGCCTGTTTTAAATGGATGGGAACATAAATAATGGAACCAAAAAAAGATCAACTTAGCACATTCAAACCAAAAGACATACACATGCAAATTAAAGTAAGATTTAAAAAAATAATAATCAACAGAAAACACCAACATACTATTTGCGAATTAAAAATTTTCGAAAAGCAAAACCTAATGGCGTCCAAAATTAAATTAAGGTAACTTAAGCATGATGACTTAAGAGTATGTTAAAGAAATAAACAAACAACAACCAAAAAAAAAAAAATACAACACAACAACAAAAAAAGAAAGCATTGAAAATCATTAGTGATTAGTAAGACCAGAAGTTTTCAAATTAAAGTGGCTTACTGGTTAAGATATTATTACTTTCAATATGATGATTATAAAAAAAGAAATGATCGATATGGAGTATAGGGTAAAAAAGTCTTAAACAAAAAGTAAAACGCACAGGATGTTTTTAGTAAATGTAAATTTCCAAATTTTGACACGTGGAATATTAATAGATGTACTTAAAATCTCAAGTGCTAAAAAGAAAATTCATACTCTTTCTCTAAATAAATGAAAGTTTGATGAGAGAAGATTAAATGTGAACTAAGAATTTCTAAGTATTTGCAAAGAACAAAATATCTATCTTGAGGCTAATTCCAGTCCCAAGGGAAACGCTATCTAATTCCCCTTCCTGGGGTCATAGAACTATCGGGTAGCTGACACATCAGCTAACCAGAAAGAAAGATTTAGTCTTTCAACCCAACAGGTTGCAGGTCAGAAGAAAGATAAATAATTCACATATTTAGCCTGATGTGTGCTTCTTCTTATCATTTAAAATACCCCTACCTGAGACAAAAGAAAGCCTGAATATACGAAAATACAAACCACACATACCCTGTTCATGAATGAGACAATCCATAAAGATGTCCATTACCCATCCCCTCCTAATTCATCCATAAATGCAATAAAACCCCAAGAATTTAAAAAAAAAAAAAAAAAAACCTAGACAAACTGATTCTAAAGTTCATTGGAAAAACAAACAAAAATAGCCAAGAAAATTCTCAGACGGATGAGTAATAAGAAGGCACAAGCCTTACTATGTATTAGAATATATTTAAAACTACAGCAATTAAAAGAATGCAGAGTTGGTACAGGAGCAAAAGTAGTAACAGAACAGAAAAGTCCAGAAATAAATCTACATTCACACATTCACAGAGAAATGTAATAACTGCTAAAGTTGTAATCGCCTGTTGGGGGGTGGGGGGCGGGGCAAGAGTTCATTAACTAAAGGTACTGGGATAATTAGGCAGCGATGCCACCCTGGTCGCCGTCCCCTTTCTTTCTTGCCAACACATCCAGAACTCGGTTCAAGAATCAACTATACGAGATGTTCCGGGAAGGCGGGCTCAGTGCAAGGCTGAACCTCCACTGGTCTACACCATTCACAATCGTTCCACTGTCTTGCCAGCGACTGGTCTGGAGGTTGTCATGTGACCTAGTTGTGGCCAATGAACTGTGAGAAGCCAGCCTCTGTCCTTCCTGTTTTGGATGTGGTTGTATGAGATGACGTGTGGTCACGAAGGGACCTTGTGATCACCAAGGGAAAGCCAAGGAAACCACAGAGAAGCTGACCCGAATCCGTCAAGCCTGCAACTATCAACCTCTAAGATTTTTACATGATAATAAACCCCTATTATTTAAGTCACCTGTAGTTACTCTGTTTCCGGCAACCAAAGTATCCTGATTCAATAACCAGCTGGGAAAAAGGTGATTTGGTTCACGATACCTCACCCATTACTCTCCAAATAAAAGCTAGATGCATCAAAGATTTAAGAAAGTACTAGAAGAGGAGCAGGGTGCCTTTCCACAAGTTTTGGAAATGGGGAAGCAGGGCCGTTCCAAGTGTAACACAAAACCCAACAGTCATAAAGGACTGAAAAATTCTAAATATAAATATAATTATATATGAGAAAAACACCATAAACGGTCAAAAAATTATCGACAACTCGTAAAAAGCTTTAGGATGCATATCACAAAGACTAGTTTCTTTGCATGTAGGAGCAGTGTGTGCTTCCTTCGCTGTGCACTAAATCCTGTAGCGGTATTTCCATGGCACTGGGAGCAGACACATGTATCATAAAGCTCTGTCCCAGGCTGTGGACACCATGAGGAGCCTGGCAGGGACAAAACAAAACCCATGCGGGAAAGCACAACCCCACCGGCGTACAGGGAACAGTCACAGATAAAGGGCCCCCGAAGACGTGGCCATGACCCCAAATCCCAACACACGCATACACACCACCGAAGACGTGGCCATGACCCCAAATCCCAACACACACATACATCCCGCGCACGCACACACACACACACACACACACACACACACGCAACCAGAGAGGCGCGCACACACTCAACAAAGCCGAACTAGACCTTCGGGAACCTCGGGGATGGGGACCATCTGACAGACTACACGCCCGAAGCTGTGCGAAGCACTCGCTGAGTGAACAAAGGACATGAGCATTAAGACAGCGTCTCTGCAGCAGAAAGCGCGTGTAGGAGGACGCGGCATTGAAACAAGGAGCAGCTCCCGGCCGAGTGCTCAGTGAACCTTCGGGGGGATGATGAGGGCGCAGTGACTGCCGTGGGGCTTCCGCCCTCTCCCTGTGCCCCTTCCTCGCGGCCACTCGCCTGCTCTCACGTGCAGCGGGGAGCTGCTGGGCCCCGCACTCGCCGCTCCTTGGCCACGCGGGCCCGGGGCTCGCTTCCCGGCTGGGCGGCCTGGCATCCGGTGTGCCGCCCCCCGCCCCCTCCCCTCGTCTTCCCCGGGTTCTGACATCGGGCATCCGTCTGCTCTGACCCCGCCTGCGACCCCGGCATGGCGGGTGCTGGGGAAGGAACCCTGGAGGAGGCAGGACTGGATCCGGCACGGCCACAAGTGGCAGGGTCTGCCTTGAGTAGCGGGAGGGGAGGGGACGTTCAAGGTGCAAGAGGCACAAGGCAGACAGACGCGGAACCCCTGACGTTTGGACTCGTGAACTTGGGAAGAGCACAGCTGTAACTGACTTTGTGTTTTTAAAATAAAATTTCAATTCCACCCCATCCCCCCCACCGAGGAATCCGTCCATCACTTTTGTCCGCTTTTCTTCCTGGGTAAAGCTCACCTTTGGCAAAGGCTTCTGGAAGGCCTGCATCGCCAGGAGCAGCGGTGCTGCTGTCGTCCAGTTGTAGTACCTGACAGGAAGCAACGAAGTAAAGGTCAAAAGACCGAAGGTCAGACTGAAGTCTTTCCAATGTCATGAGAAGTGTCATGGAAAGTTCCAGAACTCCAGCAGGGCCCTTAAAGAGCCCAACACTGTTGCCTACACCCCCAGCCCTCCCCTAAGTCCCACCCTCTCCAGCTAAGCCCGCCGTGTCCACACGGGGACAAGCAGCCGCCGAGGCAGCAGCACAGCCAGTCAGAGGTGACGGGACCCCTGCAGCCAGCTGGAGAGCAGCCCAAGCTCCACCGTGTATCAAGCCACCAATATGCTGTGGCCTTCGTGGCCACGCTTCCAGGGAAAAGGCCACTAGCTAACCCTAAGTTAGTTGATGCATAAACCTCCATGACTTCCTCTTGGGGGGAAAAGTTCGCCGACAGTCTACAAAGACCCTGCACTTCCCTCGACCTCACGCGAGGAAGGTTTCAGGGGTGGACACGCAGTCGATGCTGTTACCCCTGGGCCACAGTCCCATGGGCCCGTGACCTTCCACGTTCCAGCATGAAATCGGGGCAGATGGGTATCAAAATCCACAAGATCAATAGTTACATCAACCTACCATCTACCTCGCAACGTGGCATTTTGCCAATAGTGAACTGACAATAATCGATTTTAACAGAGACTTAAATAAAACAAAATGCAAATACATAAAACAACTTCTAAGGTCGACTGTCTAGGTCTCTGAATTTGAAAAACTGAAGCTGAAAGGGTATCACGTGATTGCCAGGACGGCCCTCAAGAGAAACGTACTTGTTCCCGATCTTCACCACAAGATGGGGGTCATCGATGAGGGCAGGGTTGTCCACGAACTGTTGGTATGACACGGCTTGCTCCAAAAACGCATCTGTGAAAGAACCACAGGGGAGCGGGGGAATGTAAGAAAGATCTGGTTAAAAAAAATAGGCCTATTTTCACTCACTCGTGTCCACAGGTAAGTTTTCAAGGAGTTTATACATTCCGACTGCGCAAACGATTCTTATGATGCATTTGTAAAGAGGGCTTCGGTCTGTTTGGGGGCAGCATCCAGGCAGGAGTAGAGGAAGGCTGGGCAGTCTGAGGATGTGGGGGAGGGGCGCGAACCCTAACTCAGGGCACACGCATTCACGCAGAGGGCAGGGGTGTGGAAAATACGGCAAACACGTATCCGCTGAAGATGAATAAGCAGGGCCCGGAGACCAGGTGACCTCGGTTTAAGTCGCATTCATTGTGTGACCTTGTGATTAGTCTCCCCACACCCCAGTTCCCCCTGTGCAGATGGTGAGATCTTGAACACAGCTCAGTGTCCTGCCTAGACAAGGGCTCACTCAACATCAGCAGGTGGGATTCTGACCACTGTCACCTGCAGGCACAGTGGCTGACCCAGCCCCAGCACATGCAGAGCGGGAGGGAAGGCCACAGGGCCAGGAGGCAACCTTGGTTTCGTTCATCATCAGGGTGATGAATGAGCTGAACAGATGCCAGAATAAGGGGCCCAATCTCTGCACAAGAAGAAATCCACAAAGCCTTGAAGGTACTTCAGAATGGAGACAGGAGTCTAGGACGGCCTCTCGGGGCAGGAAGGGAAGGTCGGGGCTCCTGAGTGGCAGGAGGAAACACATGCCCTCGCCCCACTCCCTGCTATAACTTCAGACCATCATGGGTCATGGCTGGCAGCCTCAACCAGGGGTCCTGGGCCACCTCGCCATGTGACTATCACGAGACACTGGGAAATCACTTTACCAAGATGATGGATGCTATGAATTCATTCATCCCCCAAGCCAACCCTAAGAGCATCCTTCAGATCCAACTGGGAAGCGTCCCTCCGTCCGCTAAGAGCCCACCGCGTTTCTGCACCCTGCCAACGCTGTGCTCTGCTCTCATCGTACTGCCGGCCCCTCTGGGCTGCAGGCTCCCACAGCTCCGCAGGGCTGGCATGGGCGGGGCCAGAAGACACACACCATGCTCGGCAAAGGCACCTGGCAACAAGTGACCCCAATGGCCTTGTTCTGCCTGAAGCCATGTGTGAACAAGAGAACCCAGAGGTCAGCCAAGTGCAAGCCAGCAACATGCAGCTCATGAGCAACGAGTGCTGTCCTTCGTGCTGTCATTAGCCACACAGTGAAAGTGACTTCTGACGGGAGTGAGCTCCGTACAGAAGTCCAAGCTTCTGGCCGTTCTGACCGGCTGCCACACGAGGGCGCTCTTGGCTTGAAGACCAGCCCCGCGCCCGGCCAGTACCTTTGGTGATCTCCCGGTTGTCGCTGAGGCCCCCGCAGAGTGAGATGGCGATGGACGGCAGGTCCCGCAGGCCGTCCGAGGTGCTCTCCACGCCACTGTCGATGCCGGAACTGCCCACGGACTGAGGAGACTGGTTGGCGGACCGGGCTCCGCTGTCGGCGTGTTTGGGGAGCCCGGCAGGGTCCCCGCTGGAAGCAGGAAGAAGAGAAGGTGTCCTGAGGGTTTTTTCCTCGCCTAGGTCTCACGCGGACACTAGATGACTCACTCCAGCAACCTGCCACCCCTCGGAGCAGCAAACGACCACCAGGGGGCAGGCTGTTCATTAAAGCACATGACAAACAGACAAGCTAAATCAATCACCTTAGGAGAGACCATTATTTTTTCCTATTGTATCTCCCTGTCTCCCCTCCCAAACCCGAGTGAGATGAACCAACTGTCCTAGGAGGCTGCAGTTCTGTGTGTGTGCCCTGCAAGGGGCTGGCCCCCTCTGCAGATCACGGGAGAACTAAAGATAGACCCCCAAGGGGCCGGGGAGACCCCTTTCCTAGAGGGGGAGAGCGTGGCAGCTGCCCACGCCTCGCTGTGGGTTTGGGTTGTGGGCCAGTGAGCACTGCGACCCCACCGGTGTCATCAGGGGACACGGCCCTGTGCCTGCGCTCCTGCTCGGAACGTGGAAAGCCAGCCACTCCGATACATCCACACGCTTCCATCTGCGGAGAAAGTCCGCGGTGTTTACTGGTTGCTTTTCACAGGGAAATGCGAGCCTCCCGCTGCCTTTTCTTACTTTCCAGTCAAATAGAAGGAAAAAGTGGACTCACACGGATTACTATTCAGATTATACGAAATGATATGAGGAATAAAGAGAAATTTTACTTTTTGGGAAAATACAGAGCAGCCACCTCGGGATCCATATCTGTGAGGTCATCCAGGTAGACGCCGTCGGCACCAAGGTGTCTGCTTCGTTTGTCTACAAGAGTCAATGGCTCAAGTCAGAACATCATTCTTCCAAAAACCACCCCGTGGACTCCTGAGTGTCTCCAGAAAGGCGTTAAAGCACAGTGTGCAAATGTGCTCACAAGTGCCCGAACGGCTCCCGAGTCACACAGTCGGAAGTCAGCGGTACAGCATGGCCGTAATGCAGGCGGGCGCCCGGCTCGACGCATGCCACCGTCGCTTGCCAACTGTGTGACCTGGGTCACGTTCTGTAACTTTGCTGACCCTCAGCTGCCCATCTGTGAAGTGCCTGTTGGGCACCAAGCAGTCACGATGGTAAAGCGATTAGCATCGTTATTTCGTGACAAGGCTTTCATGAAGCACTCACTTCCCCATCAACACGCTGGAGAATGACGTCACCAGTTCACACAAATCCAGGAGTCTGTATGAAGCCAAGTGGCTAAAAGATGAGGTTTGACGTCATCACTCCTGACATGCGCCCTGCTAGTGTGCCTTTAACGAGGGTTTATGGAGCACCTACTATGTGCCGACTGCTATTGTTAGCAAAGGTAAAACGGGCCAGAAAGATCCTTGATCTCGTGGAGCACATGTTCTAGTCCAGGAGTCAGGCAAAACAAACAGATGGTCATCTGAGCCGTGACAAGCAGAAGCTTAAAAGAGTCACGTGCTAGAAAGGAACTAGGGGCAAAAGGAAAGGGACCAGGATCAGCTTAATAACCAGCTTCTTCCGCGGAGTCCCAGAGCCTGCAGAAAAGGGCTTGAGCCCCCTGGGCCCCAGCACGCCGAGCTGTGAAATGAGGGGTCCGCTACCCGGTCCCCAAGGCCCCCTTCGCGTCTGATTCTCTGTGACTCGATCCACCTAATTAACATATCAGCCAAAGGCCACAGACTGAACACGACAGACGTCACGGTTCAGTTTCCACCTTGCGTTCTCAACCGTCCAGGGGATGGCGGGAAAGTGCGGAGCCCGCGCCCACCTGCCCGGCCGGAGCCGGGAGCCCCGCCCCCGCACCTTTTTTCCTGGCCGGCGAGTCCGTCTTGCCTGCTGTCGAGGCTACACCGGCAGAGAGGGGTTTGGGGGCTTCGGCCGTGGGTAAGGGCGGGGCTGCGGCTCCCAAGGCCTCAAGGTCTTCTTCATTCTCAAACTGCATCTCTGTCTGAGACTTGTTCTCCTCCAAAAGCGGCTGCACAGGACGCCCCCCGGCCGGTGTCGGCGACTGGTCGCTGAACCCGTCCGAAGATTCACTGAGAATGGCCTGGAAGTGCATCTTATCGCAGATTTTTCTAGTGCTCAACGGGCTGGACTCCTTCATCTTGTGTGGAGACTGGATTGAAAGGAGAGAGACAGACGGAGAAGTCAAAGCACGGACCAACAGACAAAGGAAGTTGAGCGAAGAAGCGCAAGCAGCCACAAGGATCTGCCCAACTGTCCACAGTTTGCGGGGAGAGGCTTAAGCCTCAGGAGTCACCGGTGACCCCTCGTGAGCTCCATTCCTGCCAAACGGTCCAGATATCAAGAATATTACTCCCAAAGCAAAGCGACTTTCGTATAGAACATCAACTGCCGAGCGGGAGTGAAGGAAGTAGTGACCAGCAGGCGGAAGCGACCCAAATGCCCGTCAGGAGACAGGAGAGTGACACGGTGGGGGGGTCTGCAGTGACGAGAAGACACGAATCCCAGCGTCACACGACAACAGGGTCACTCTTGCAAAACCCGTCTCTGCGGTTGGAGCCGAGAGTGCGTCTGTCCTGTGGGAGGTCGGTTAGGGGTGGGGGCGGTGGATTCCGCGTGGCTGGTTAAGTCCCACATCTCCGTCTGGGTACAAGTCGCATGGACACGTCCACAGTGTGAAAACCGACTGATCTATACACTTACGATCCAGGTATTTCTAAGTACACATGTTCTATTTCAACCCCAAAAAAAGCGGAGATTCAATGGTTGGTTCACATGGGTGAGAAATTAGCATTTCGGATTCTGTCTCTCCAAGGACTTTCTAGTTATAGAACAGAGTCACCCAAACAAAAATCGGAATGCGATTGGTGCCCTGGAAAGGGAGAAGCGGGTATTCACGTCTGCCTCTGATCTCACAAACAGAAACAATGGCACAGCGAGTCTGTGGTCGGAACTGTTTTTCCAGAAGTGATGAGTCTGCACTTCGATGCCGTTTCTCCAGCAACGAATGACACGGATTTGTAAAGATGGTTGCCTGGGTCAGCACTATAGCTTGTGGGCAGAGATCTCAGCGTTTTCCATGAAAGCTAAATATAATCTAGAAAGAGCCGGAATCTGCGGCTTCAGCCTCGACAGACCTGCTCTCCAAAGGGCTGTGCATCTCGAGTCTTAATAGGAACGCGTCCAACTGTCACTCACTCATTCATTCATTCATTCATTTGTTCACATTACAAATATTTACTGGGGATACAAGCGGCCATGGCATCTTCCAAGGACTTGATGATAATTAAAAAAAAAAAAAAACATAGCTTGAAATATAATAATATAATTCAAGATTCTTATACTACATTGGAATATGAAATCAAATGCCCTGAAAGAAAACGTCATGTCCAGCTCACGTTTTTAGGAGCTGTCTTCGGTGCATGACAGAACTGAAGGGGGGAAAGCTGACCTTTGCAGCTTGTGGCAACTCTCCCCACAGCCAGAGCATTTCTAGGTTGTTCCTCTGCGTCGCTCTGTCCGTGGACTTACTGACCAATTCTGAATCACTTTTAGGCGTCGAAGGCCGGGAACCTGAAGGACTTAAAAAAACAGAGATACGTGATTAAAGTGGGAAGAGAAGCTTTTTAAAAATGTTTTGGGACCAGAGTTCTGTGGTTTGAATAGCCCAGAAAATGCACCCAAGCCACCATTGCCTTAGGAGCATGGCTTTGGGACACGTCTCATCCGTGGCCACCAGGGGTCCACAGAACAACCGTCCAGGTGGAAGATGCTCCCAAGGGAAGTCACCCCGCCCCAACCTGCCACCAGATTCCAAGAGAGAGAAGATCAGAGGGAATGTTAAAAAGGGGAAATTGAAACAAAAGAGAGAGATGAAGAGAGAGGAAAAGAGAGTTTGTTTTTATTTTATCCCATCTCACCCTGTCACACCCTGAGCTCACCTCTCCTGCACTCCACTTTCCAAATCAGATCTCTCAACTCTCAGCAGCCGCCAAAGGGTCCTGGCTGCCTCCTACACACACCCATCACATCACGTTCTGGGCTTAAAACAGTGATGACTCTGCATGGGCTTTGAAAACAGGGCAAGTGCATCATGTGACAACCTTACCACACGTGCCGGATGCCACAAATCAACTCGCTAACGTGGCAGGAGCCTCCAAGCTGAAATTTTATGAAACGTTAGACATTCCAGGAATACTTCGAAAATTCCTCCTTGCTAAGGCCCTTCCTGTAACAACTCATCACAAGGCTTAATCCTCGGGCCAGCTTTTAAGTGGCTGTAGCTCACGTTCTCATCTCTATGTTTTCTATATACATAGACTTTTACTCAAGACATAAAAAAGCTCTTATTTCCGTCCAGCCGAAGTCACCAGCTGAGAGTAATCAACTGATCCACAAAATTCTCACCATATTCGAAACAACGTTCAGATGGGAAAAAAATATCCACTTAATTATCCCTTGTCTTTATTTTCCCGCATCATTTCCTCCAGAGGGAGACGGCATAAGCCGAGAAACAAAGCCACCATAATTTCCCTGTCGCATCTTCTTTCACAGACTGCCTCTCACTATATCTGTCTCAGCTAGATTCAAGCCCGTGTGAATACGGCTTTCCTGTCAGGACCAGCAGACCTCATGGATGAACAGGGACCCTTCGTGGCTAAATCGACCCTGATCTCTCTTCATTCAAGCCATTTGGACCAAGAGGACAAGGCGCTCCCTCCTCCGCTTCACACGGAAGGGCGTGCAGGCTTGTTCCTTCTGCCGTGGCGCCCACCGCCCACCAGCCCGCCCAGACGGCATGGAGCTGCGGTCCACCCTCGGGTCCACTCTGCCGGCAGGTGCAGAGGCGGCTCCCGAGAGGGCGCGCCGTGAGAGCGCATAAGGGGGTCCCCTCCCCCACCACTCACATGCTCTCCTGCCTGCGTGGTCCACGAGAAGGGGCCCCGGGCGCTCCACACGCCTGAGCGTCCCCCACCCTCTCACGTGTCCTCCAGTTCCGAACTCGTGCTTTTCTCCAAAAAGTCAGCGCTCTTCTGACACTGAAGCTCGGTATCAGTGAAACGTGCAAAGGGAGCGTGGTGGCCCCCGGCAAGGGGGCTTCGTGCCTACAGCTGTATAACCCGAACCCCTCCTTCCTCCAGACACCACAGAAGGCGACTTCCTGCCCTCGCCGGTGCCGCACTCAAACCTGAGATCATCTGCGTAAAAAGCTCCTGCCATCATATTTATTATGCAAAACAGAATCTGCGTTTTGTTATAGATTCTGCAGAACGATAAATCGTCTCACCCACTGCCACTAAATTAAGTAAAGCCCATTAGGCTGAGCTTGCTCTGGGTAGGGGGTGAGCAGGCTTTTTCTGTAAACGGCCAGAAGGCAAATATTTCAGGCTTTGTGGGCAATGCGATCTGTCGCAACAACTCAATTCTGCCATCGTAGCGCAAAAGCAGCCACAGACAGTGTGCGAACTGGCTGTGCTCCCATAAAACTTCACAGAAACAGATGGCGGGCCAGATTTGGCCCATGGGCTAGAGATCACCAGCCACCGCGCTCTGGGAGAACACAAATGCTGAACACAGTTCTAGAGCATCTCCCGACTCCAGAACCCCTGGCAGTCTGAGCCCTTCCTGAAAGCCATACACCAAAAGGCTTCCACAGAGGCATTCGGGTCTGCAAACTCGAGAACCAAGCCCCGTGTGACAGTCGTAGGCTAGAAGTCCCCACCTCTCGCATTCAAGATGCTACTAGAGTGAGTGCTGGCCGCTTAGGCCACACAGGCCTTTCTCAAAAGAATCTGGACGCGATGCCCATGCACACTCTGCCTGCTCGTCAGGGGATCTCGACCGAGGGAAGGAGAACTGGGGAGGAGACTCCCAGTACTGAACGTGACTAAAGAGAAAGATGATTCCAAAATTTCCCATCATCAAACATTAGACTTTTAGGATCAAGAGTTGTTCAAATAAGTAAGCTTACAAAGTCGCTGACTGATTTTCATAAATAACGCATTTATTAACCACATGACATTTGCGGTATTTTTGCCAGTCCCAATTAGGCAAATTGGTTATAACTGCTCATAACTCATTTTAAAATGACCTTCCTTCCGCACAGGTAACCTCTGAATGAAGTGCATCCTAAGATTTGGTTCTTTAATCAAAAAGAAAGAGCTTCCCCTGTGGAAATGAATCACCACTTCGTTCGCTAAAGTGTGAGACTAAACGGCATTAAGTCCACAGAGTGGGCAGGTCGGAGCGTGGGCAGCAACGGGGACGGGGGCAGAAGCCCGAGACCACCGCATCCAACAGGAGGACAAACCGCAATCCTGAACCTGAAGATCCTGTGCTGTTCTCTAAAACTCCATCCTACAAATGCTGTGGGAATACCTGATCCCATAGTTCAGAAAGTCTAAGAGGCAATTTAAACATTTATAACACTGGCTTCCCTTAGCTCCAGTGGCATCCTGAAAAAAATCTCACAGACTTATTTGTCGAACAACCCTAGACACAAAACGGAAGATCACATTCCCAATTTTTATTTCATTATTCTATTTTTCAAATCGCTCCAGAATTGGGAAGAACTATATGCTTAACCATAATTCCCAGAGAGTCAAATTTAGTACTTAAAAAAAAAAAAAAAATCGAATAATCTACAATGCTTAAAATGAAAGTAAAATAATAATCTTTATGTATTTGCTTCCTAAGTAACTTGGTTAGTAAAACAGATCTGTAAGAGTTAGATCAAATTTTTCATTTCATGGGATCTCTAGGCACTTTCTGCATAACGAATTTGGTTGGTTAGTAAAATAGATTCGTAAGTGTTAGATCATATTTTTCATTTCATTTCATTTCATTGCATAAGCAACTGGGTTAGTCGGGAGGTAGATCGGTAAGCATCATGGAAGGCGCCCCGGCGGGGAGACACGCCGACTACCTTTCCGAAGCGTGGAAACGAGACGGCTGTGGAGGGCAAGAGCTAGAGAGCCCGCCCTCGGCCACGGCTGCGGGGTGACGGGGGCTCCTGTTGCAATCTATCAGGCTACTGGATGCCACGGGATACACATTAAAAGAAAGAAAAATCATAGGTCAATCAAAAACGAAGTTTCATATAAAAGTATGTGACCGCTCCTAACAACCACGTTTGTAAGAAAAGGAACACACTTAGACCTCTGGTAACGGCAGACGATGGATGGCATGTTGAGATCACTAAGAAATAGACATGAATTTTCTTAACCGCAAAAACAGGAAACCGCTAAAAGACCCATTTCACTTTCTCTTTCATTCATATGCCCATAAATGATAGTTTTTCTCTGGTCAGAATTTAGTGCTTCATCAAACCGCATATTGCAAGAGCTGACAATTGGTGCTGTCGGTTGTCTCTTTAAAGAAAATACATAATTCCAAGTATGGAAATGTATCTATCCTAATTTGCCTCTGACAGTGGCCTAATCCACACAATCTGACAGAGTCATTATTCTGGATTCACAGAGCAAAACATGAAAAGACAGAAAAACCTATTCAAGGTTGTGTTTTAAACATTTACTTTAAATTCTTGCAGTTAATATAAGGTGTTTGAACAGATTTTCGACCTACTAGTGGTTTCTAACCATTCCACATACTTTCTTCCTGAAGTACCCACGGTAGTGTGTTCCCCTCCCGAGGGTTTATCTCTACAGACCACGGGAGACAATGTACGAGGTTCTCTCTAGAAAGGTCTTACGTCTGCACCATCCAATGTGATAGCCACTAGCCGGAAGTGGACATGGAGCATGCAAAACGTGGCCAGTCTGAATCGAGATGTTCTGTACATGTGAGATACACAGTGATTACACGGGCTTTGAATGAAAACGAGAATGTGAAATATCTCGATTTTTTTTTTTTAAACTGATCACTTGTAATGATATTTTGGATACGCTGGGTCAAATGAAATACATCATCAAAGTTAAGTTCATCAGTTTCTTTTTAAATTTTCAGGATGGCTGCCAGAACGTTTTAATTTCCATGTGTAGTTAGTAATTTGTTTCTGATGGACAGGACTTGTCTTTAGACTGACAGACCTCAATGAGGGGACCTCACAGGTCCCCAGCCTACCCTGATTGACTGACATTCATTGTCACAGTCCTGGCTGGAAACCAGGCACGTGACATATCTATTTTTCTCCGACCTCAAGTTCAGCACACGCATAGCTCACTGTGCTATCTCATTAACGAGATTATTCCGATCCAGCTGGAGCCGGGGTGGCATTTTCACGAGACTGGCTTTAGGCAGAAAGCTTTCGTAGCACATGCCAGAGCCCCTAAGATCCCCTAGGAGACTCCTACTCCTCCATTTTAAACCTGAAATAGATCTAGCACACCAGGAGTGAGAATAACCCAAGATGTCACGTTATCACTTAGATCAGTATTTCTCGGCCTCTTCCTCATTATCGCCACACCCCTGAGCATCACGAGACATTTTTTCCTTAACGGCCCTCCCTCTAGCACGAACTTTAATGCCATAGATATACTGTGTCTCTCTTTACGACTCATCACTGGCCACAAACCATTATAATATCTAAAATTTTGTGCGGCCTGTTGGGCCGACATCGTCCCTACTGAGAAGACATGTTTTAGATCTGTCCCTTCCCCAGTTCTGCAAACTGCCCAGACGAGCACCCACATCCTCACAGGTGTCAGTGACTTGAGAGTCGTAGGACTCTCAGTTTGGAGATATGCACGCTGGGCAGCTCTGCTTCTCCCTGTTTACGCCGGAAGTTCGTTTCAGGGAAATGAATATCCTTAGATTCAGCAGATCGGATTAAACACCGGGAGAAGGCGTCATTCTAACAGCCCTGGGTGACCTCAGTGGCCTCAGGCAAGCTCTCTGTATTTGAATCTCACTTTAGAGAGATAAGTATCAAGAAAGGACCCATTTTCTCCTGTTGACATTTAGCATTGTGTAACTGCCAAGTGATCCTCCTTCCAAGGTCACCTCTGGGAGCTAAGAGCTACACATGCAGTTCAATTTTGATACTAGATAGAAGATTACGACTTGCACGTGTTGCTTTTAACCCTGACTTGTAATGTACCTCCTACTCTAAATTGCATATTTTCTGGTCCTAACTCATTTCATTTTTTATTTCTGTTTCACTATTTTATTAAACACGCTTCCTATCACTGACTTCGAATTGTCCGGACCAGGACAGGTGAACCCACTGCCACACACACCAGCAGCTTACCTGGAGTTGGGAGACCAGTCTCTATCAGAATTAGGATACGATGCTGACTGAGAATAAGTCATCGCCGGGGGAAGGTTTTCCTTAAGAATATCTTCTTGGAATGTACTAGAGAGAGTTCTGGTGAAAAGGGAAAAAAAAAGATTAAAGTCAAAGAATTACTAGTGATAATTAGTAATGCATAGTAAAGGCAAATTTCCAGTGGTTCCTGATCGTCTCTAAGCGCTTTGCAAATTAACGTGATCTCTTTTTAAACTGCGCAGCCGTGTTCCAGGCATCAGAGAGGGGGACAAGCGACAGGCAGACACAGGCAAGTGTGTTTTGCGCATTCGTGCTTTGGCTGAATTGTAAATGTAAAATTATTTTGTTCAGGTGTTTGCACAGACATGATCACACTGCTTGTTACTGACATTGTAGCACCTTATACAGTCGCCTTCCACGTGTCATCTCCCAAAAGCCTCCCAAAAGAGGCAGATTGGCCCCAGAACTGGAACCAGGGATTATGAACCTCTCGCGATGCACGGGGGAGGCTGCTGAATAACCGAATTAGCGCCCACAGATAGCGTTTCGTCCAGCAGAATGAATAAATGACATAAATCAAATGTACCTCAGAATTACGAACGGCTGCAAATCTACCTCATCTCAGGTAGAACACAATCATTACAAAGTACGATCCTCTATTTCAGAGGCCAGCTGTCTGTATTTTTGATGTCACCTGAACTGTCCATCACTAAATTAAAAGCCACGCGAGGAAGTGCAGGGCGGGGACCTGTGATAAAGCCAGCCCCCGAGGTTCCGAGCCTCTCGGTTAGGGAATGAATGCCATGCTGCCAAGTCGCAGGAGGATAATCCTAATGCTCCTTACCCCTTCCTTATGTTAACAAGACACAGAAACGATTAGCGAAAATTATACTGAATGACACAAAAATCTGAAACATCAAATATTCTTTACAAATGAGTTTTCTTTTAAAACTGGTTTTTTGTTTTTTGTTTTTTTTTTTACCAAAATAGTAATACGCAGAAACAGAATGTCATCACGCTGTTACAGACAGAGAAAAAATAAAACAGATGTGTCTTAAACTTTGGGCCTAATCCAAACGGAAGAGGAAACGTTTGCGCGTAGAGGAAGCGGTCCGGTTCTACACTGAGCCCGGGTCCCTCAGGCTACGGATGAGCCAAGCGCCGGGAACGCGGCTGGTGCTCAAACGAGAACGAGGAGGTCCTAACAGCGGGTTCGTGCACGAAGCCCTGGCTTGCTCAGTTCCTGCTTCCTGGCTCTGCTCTGGGATGCTGACGTCAGCAGCCAAGGAGGTCTGGCGTCACCCGCCGTCGCTTAGTTACAAGTGACATCAAATCTTTTTGCTACTTTAAGATTGGGTGCTCGGAATTCCAAAATTCGGTCTCCAATGCGTTAACAAAAGAATGAGGGATTGTGAGGGGGAAAGTTTATAAAAGCAGCTGAACAAAGCCCTCCCGCCCGCTCTGGCCCGGCCCAGCCCGGCCCGGCCCGGCCCACTCACCGGCTGCCAGGCGGCGGGTCCGGTGGCTCCGCCTCCTCGTCGGAGCTCATGTCTATGGGGAACACGTCTTCGTCCTCGGACGTGTTCATGTCGTCGTCTCTCTTCAGGCTGTCCAGCTGGGACTTCCTCCTCCTCTTTCTTCTCTTCTTCACCAGAGAGCCGCTGGAAGGGGTCTCCGTGGGAGGCAAGACCTGGGCCGATGTGCTGGGGTCCAGGCTTCTCATCCTGTCCACAGAGCTCCTCTTCAGCTGGCACTCCATTCGCGAGGCTCCTTCTGACAGGATCGGGGAGGTGGCCAGGTGCATGGGGATCACCTCCTGGAACAGGTCCAAGACAGTCTCATTCACTTGGGTTTACGGAGTGGGATGGCGCCCGAGGCCTGCGGGTGCTAACGGGGGGCCCGGCCCTCCCCAGGGAGGGCCACGCAGGCCGTGTGACTGAACGTCACCGTGATCCGGAGACATGGCTGCCGAATTTGATTGACAATTCATCAAATACCACTTTGTACTGAATCCCTCATTTTTATAACCGTAACTAACTGAGGTAATTATGAGTGATTTCAGGTCACCAAAATTCAATTTTGTCTGAAATATCCAGGGTAAAGACGAAAAAAATGGGCTATTTTAGTCATTGCATAACTGGACTCAATTTTGCGTTATCTGTGTGTGTAAGGGTGTGTGTGTACGTGAGAGAGAGACAGAATGTGTATTTTTTAATACACAATGAATTAAGATGTTAATGTTTTAGAGAGGCATCAGACAGCTCTCCATCACTGCACCCCAAATGCCTGCCTATGCCAGGGCATATCCAGAGGGGTGGCTGTTGAGTAACCAGATATTAACCCTCTCCTTAAAAATGAAAGGAAAAAACACGCAGCCTGTCGATAGCTGCTTGATAAGGATTCACCAGTGTTTTTAAAAACCATAGCAATCATTTCATTAATGACTCATTTACTATGAGAAACCTAATAACAAGAAGTAATAACTTATATAAAGGAGAATGGCTAGAAAAACAGAAATGTGCTGTTGAGATTTTAAAGTGGCTGAGAGACCATGAAATGAGCTGCAGAGACAGAGTCTGCATCCGAGAGCAGCAGGCTGAGGCTGGAAGGGGTGTGAGGGGCCATCTCGCTCAGCTGCTCAGCTGGAGCGAACAAAGAAGGAAGGCAGAGCGCACTGGCAGAAAACAAGGTCCCCCTGACTACAGAGCAGGGGCAGGCTTCTGCAGGTGGAGGGGAGACGGGGAGACAGCACCCCGCAGCAACGTGGTGAGGAAGGACATGGGCTCCCCAGCTTCCAGCAGCCTCTCAGGGGCATCCGTGCGGGACAGGACATACTCTGGCCCCCAGACCCCATCCCGCCCACCGGTGCCCTGTCAGGCCAGCCCAGCAGGCCCTCTGCAGCTGCTGCGGCATCCTCACCCCAAATCCTTCCTCAGCTCTTACAGCATAAAACCTGTCTAAAGCCCAGGGGCCGACGGGAGTTAAGAATGTAAAGGATTTCTGTCAAAGCACCATTAGGAACTTCACAGCCCTCCCTCTGAATAGGAAGGTAAAGAGTGGACAGGCAGGGATTAGCGGTTGCTCAGGCCTCGCCGGGGAGGGCCGGGGGGTTGGGGATGGGGAGGTGACAGCTAAAGGGCACAGCTTCTTTTCTCAGGTGATGAACATGATCCAAAACTGGCCGGGCACACATCTGTGAAAATACCAACCGCCACTGAATTGCACACCTGAAATGGATAAATCGTGTGGCATGAGGATTATCTCAACAAGGCTGTTAAAAATTGTCAAATAATAAAAATCAAAGCGACCTGGTCACTCGCTAAACGGAAATGAGACGACTCAGCCATCCGAGACTTGACACCGGGGTACCTGGTGTGCTCTGGACAAGGGTTCGGGCCAACGCGATTTGCTTCCTCTGTCCCCTGGGAAACAGCGAGCGCATTGAAGCGGCCAGGGCGGCTGTGTGGACACAGCACACGCGCCTGGCTCCAGTCCCTAGTGCAGGCCAACAGGTGCTTCTGTCGGCTGCATCGTCCACACAGCCAGGCGCCAGCATCTCGTCCCCAACCCACACTCCCGCTTTGTCTCCTTAGAAAAGCACTTCTCAAAGCTCAACACCAGGAACTAACCTTTACCACCAGCCTTTCTTACCTGATCATTGTCAGTCTCTTGGACAAAAAATGCTTCTCCATTATCTCCCAATTTCATGTGCAAATCCACCGATTCCCCGTTGATTTCTATGTCAACCTAAAAGAAAACATACCTCTTCACAACAGGAAACCCCTTGGGGGCAGGCAGGGCCGCCACACACACTCACTCTGATCACTATCATCCCAAGGAAACCTCACAAGTCCTGTCTCCTGCGGTCGGCCTGGTCCTCCCTGCTCTTCCACGTCAAGCAACGGCGTCTGCTCCCTGCCCCGCCCTGCCCCCACCTCCACCCCGGCCGGGCTTGTGATGGCCCCAGTGAGTAAGGCACAACAGAAGTGACGCTATGTGATTTCAGAGACTAGGCTCTCTCTGTAGACCCTTGCCCTTATAGCCAGCCACGGCGTTGTGAGGACACCCAGGCCACATGGAGAGGCCACCTGCAGGCGTTCTGGTCAACAGCCTCATCTCAGAGTCCGGCCAAGAGCCACCAGGCATGTGAGTGAGTGTGTCTTCAGAGGACTCTGGCCCCTGACTGGGAGTCTTCCAGCAGAGACCCCAGATGGCAGACAGCAGGACAAACAGCCCAGATGTACCCGGTCTGAACTCCTAACCCACAGAATCCAGGAGCTTAAAAACCAGTTAGTTTACGCCACTAAATTTCAGAGTAATTCACACAGCCATAGTAACCAGAACAATGTGAATTAGTAACTGCCAATTCAGCCTTTTCCAACGGAGAGCTAAAGAGCTGGGCCCGCGACAAGCTCCGGATACGTCAAGCCACAGCAACATGATGACTTCCTCTAAGGAAGGAGCCCATCCCCTGGGTCGCTGGGTCCTATGTTCTCACCACTTTCTCTCGGGAGCGCAGGACCCCCATCTTCCCAAAGCGAACGTGGAACGGGGAACACTGCAGGCTCCCATTGGGTTGGCGGACGACGATGATGTCAATACACCCAGACAAGGTGGCAGGGTTCAAGCCCTTGTAGAGTTCCTTCACGGTGACAAACACCTGGCCCGCCAACTGCCCGACGTAATTCATGGTTTGAGCCTAGAAAACAGAGACACAAACAGACACACAAAGAATTCATTCAGGGAAGGCCATCTCCCCAGAGACAATCAAAATGAACGCCTCGTTTCAAACCCGTGGGTTTCACATCCCGTCTGTTCCACAGGTCGTTCTGTTCCACTGGAATGGGCTCCACAACGCCCACCTCCACTGCCCACGTCCCCCGCCTCCCATGGCAAGGTCACCCTGGACATGCCAGGAGGCCTTATTGCTGGGCCCCTTCTCACTGAGGTCGACAGTACTTGTTTATAGCATCCTAATAGCTCTCGCTACCCATGCATGTTCTGTCACTACACGTAGCTTTTACAGACTAAACCTTAAGACTCTTGAGAAAAGAGACTGCATTTGACACCTCTGAGTATCTCCCATGGTACCAAGTAGAATAAGTATGTAATAGTTGAAAAAAATGACTATTTTCACTTTAGGAAGAAAAATTATTATTATTTTGACCAACTCCATCCCGGTCCTCGCCTGCCTGTTTGACTCTCCCACGCTCCAGGGGATATCCGTGCCCGGCGTTGGTTCCTCTGCCCGGCTACTCATTCAAGTCCACTCAGCAAACACCCAAGGTGCCGACTCTACATAGGGCCTGGTGCTGGGGACGCAGAGGTAAATAAGACAAAGCCCCGGTGCACTGAGGACTCACAGGCTCACAACGGGGAGAAGTGAAACACAGGTCAGCACAGTACGTGCTAGTGTTGCTGTGTCTGTTTGTACTGTTTAAGTTCAGTGCTGAAGGAGTCAGACCAGGGACAGCAGAGGACGCAGCGCTCGGGGGGGAGGCTGGAAGGTGGACGAGGGCCCTGCAGAAGGACAGGCGTGTGCGAAGGCACAGAGAGAGACAGGCTGTGTCTGCCCCAGAGAACACGCAGGGAACGAACGGAGAGCTGAAACCACGCTAAGAAATTCCGACACTGCTACGCAGCCATGTCACATGGCCATTTCTACGTGACGCCGTAGGGGACTGGCGAACGACACAATCACAGCTCAAACCGGGATTTAGAAAAAGCATCACGGTAAAAAGGCAGGGAATGCTGGCAAGAAAAGAAACTGAAGGCAGGAAGACTAACAGATGGCCGTTGATGGCGACGCAGACAAGAGATGACGCCAGCCTAAGAGGCACCAGCGACAGAAAACTGGAGGCAAAGGGACGACGCGAGAGCTGACCCAGTGCAGAGCAGCGCGAGGCGCCCGGCCGGGCTCGGGGCTCTGTCCGCCACCCCGGTGCTGATCCACACCCGCCGACGGCCCACTCAGCACTGCCCCGGCCTCCGGTCGCACGGTAGTGCCCTGTCACCTGCCCTGACGTGACTCGGCCACCTCAGCCCAGTTCAGGGCGCTGAGGTCTCACTCCGCAGCCTTCCTCCGGCCCCTCCTCCTCGCTGTCCCCCTCGCCAGCTCCCAGCCTCGCCAGGGATGGGGCGCACTCAGGGGCCCTTCCCTCTGGGGTCCCCTGCTCCCCGCTCGGGCAGCACGTACACTTTGGGACCCAGCCTGCTCACTCTTCTCCCTTCCTCGCTGCACACGTAACGCTCTGGTGGACTCGTGAGGCCACGTGGTTCACACGCCACCTGAGTAGGGAGGGTTTGCCTAAGGCGACTTCCAATCGGTGGGTCCCAAGACCCACCCTTCCTCCCAGCCCAGCTGCCTCAGTTCTCCAAGGTGCTGACCTACCCGGGGGCACGAGGGATGCGCTGACCTCACCCACCTCAGGCCCCGACGATGATTCCAGAGGCCCCCAGAGCTTGCGCACACCTGTGCCTGACGACCCTCCGCTCACACAGTTCAATTCTGCGAAATTTCTCACTCTAATGTGTCTAATTTGCCAGATTTTCCCGGAGGCCAAGGATCAAGCCTTGTCCTTTCAAGTTTGAAAAAACACAAAATACCTTTTGGAAGGCTCACCTCAATCCCTATGACATAAGCAGAAATGACAGTAGCATCCCCGATTTACAAATGAGGAAATTGGGGCTCAAAAGCGAGGAACCAGATGCCCAGCATGCACCGGGCAAACAAGGACTGTGGCTTTACCTCTTAGAACAGACCAGAGACCAGAGCAATGAACAAAATCTACAAAGCAGAGGGCACAAGAAAGCCCTCCCTTCTCGTTTTAGGATTAAGTGACGCCCTCTGGACTGATACGCCTTCCTCCCTTGGATGTGGGGAAGAGGAACACATCCAATAAACACAAGAGATGCACACAGACCTGCCTCCCAGAGGCGGAGTCACTGCCAAGGCCGTCCAGCTCTCACCACTAACACAAGTCACATGCACATAAACAGATAAAATCAAGCCATTTCTAAGCATGTTCAGTGGTGCAGGTTAATGATCTTCATGCAAAAAGGAGAGGAGGGACCGTTCCTGAAAAGATGAACACCATGCAAAAGGATTCTTTGTAACACCGATAGATACTTTTTATAGGGAATCATTTTATCAAAGAAATCTTCACCGCAATGTTCAATGTTCGACCTAGATTTGAACGTGCTGTGTTTACCAAGAGGCAGACCTCTGCCTGCCTCTACGGCTATGGGCAAGCAGGAAGAACCCGGCGTTCTGTGCAACTTCTGTTGTGTACATTACCTGGTGTTCCTGTGACCTGCACATTAACCCCCCAGGTATGAGGCCTGTCAGATGAGAAAACTGAAGGTCAAGCAAAAGTGCAATGGGGTAAATGCCCAGGGTCACGGTGGGCTGGCAGACCTGGAATCCGGGGCTCTGGACGCTGAAGCCACCCACCCTGTACCTCCCATACCTCACGGCTTCTCTGTGTACACCCCTCATCTGTGAGCTGTGCTCATCACTGAATGACGGGTGACCCCCTCCCCAGCAGAGAGGTCCCAAACCCACGGCAGGGCCGCTGCTGATGCTAACACGCTCCAGTGAAGACCTCAGGACAACATGTTTTATTCACAGGGGAGAGAAAGCTCATGAGGAGATGGCAACGCCCTTCTCCGCGTCCCGGCTTGCAGAGGGAAAGCGAGGACTTCGGCCTGGGTGACCTGCGAGGTGCAATTCCAGCTCCGCCCGCTCGAAGATAAAGGCTGCACTCCTTAAGTCTCAGCAACTGAAAGAGCATCTTTAATAATTAACACTCAGTGTTCTGCTCTCTTGTCCTCGAAAACACAGCACCCCTCCCCGTCCGTCAACGGGCAAACTCAAGGTTAGCTAAGTGCAGAATCCGAGAAATTTGAAGCTGGCAGGGTCTTGACTGAGTTGCTGTTCCGACACCCTCATTTCACAGAAATGTGCCCAGAAACGGGAAGTGACTTCAGCAGAGCTTCCTGCGTGGCAGGGGCAGATGGAGACACAGACGGACTCAGCTCCCCAATTTCCAACCCTGCGACCTCCCATTTGTGTGTGTCACACGGTCAGCTTGGGGGATTTTTCCTACCACAAATAATCAGATGTTGCTTTAATATCTTTAGCAATCCCCTCTGGTAAATCTGAAAATACCTCCATATAGAAGCAGAAAATCTGTCCCATAATTCTTAACAAATGACAGGGTCATGGCCCCACCTGGCAGTATACTCCCGTCGTCCACATTTTACACCTGGGGCTGCCTTAGCTGAGCGCCGAGGATTTTTTAACAGAGAGAATACTACCACCTCACAGCCCCCGGGATGGCTACTATCTGAAAAACAGAAAAACACGAGCTTTGGCAAGGATATGAAGAAACTGGAACCCACATGCACGGTTGGTGGGAATGCAGAATAGTCAGCCGCTACGGAACACAGCGTGGCGGTTCCTCGAAAGGTGAAACACAGAAGTAACACATGGTCTGGCAATTCCACCTCTGGGTTTAGATCCAACGGCTCAGAGAGCAGGGTCTCAAAGAGATATGTGCACACCCACACTCAGGTAGAAACGGCCCCGGCGTCCACGCTGAGCAGGGTCTCAAAGAGATATGTGCGCACCCGCACTCAGGTAGAAACGGCCCCGGTGTCCACGCAGGGGAGCGTGCATAGGTAAAACGTGGCGTTATACGGCTCAGAGAGCAGGGTCTCAAAGAGATATGTGCGCACCTGCACTCAGGTAGAAACAGCCCCGGTGTCCACGCAGGGGAGGATGCATAGGTAAAACGCAGCGTTGCGCACACAGTGAAATGTCATTCAGCCTTAAGGAGGAAGGGGCTCCGGCACACGCTACGGCGTGGATGAACCTTGAGGACATTGCGCTAAGCGAGACACGCCAGTCATAAAAGGACAAATACTGGGTGATCTCACACACGCGAGGCAGCCAGAGCAAACAGACTCATAGAAACAGAAAGTACAGCGGTGATTACGAGAAGTTCTCGGGGGTTTTGTGTTTAACAGGTGCAGAGCTGCTTCCGGCAAAGGAAAACTTTCTGGAGAAGATGGGGTGGCGGCTGCTCCGACGTGCACATATGTAATAATACTAAGTGGGCTGAACCGGGCGCTTAAAGACGGTTAACATTGTAAACTGCATGTTACCACTTTTTTTATTATTATTATTATTTTAAAGGAGGTGGAACAGAATACTGTATTAACCAGAACTCATTTCAAGAAGATAAATATTATTCGGTTAAAAAAATTTCTTCGGAGACAGCTTGGGCCCAGGAAGATAGGGGACAGGGCCTTCGACGGGGAGAGGGAGGGCCCAGGTCACCCCAGGCACCTGCGTGGGGCTGAGGGGCTCAGCCGCAGGGACAACCTCTGACTGCTTTTCTTTGTCTGCCCCTCCCCCAAGCTCTCCACTAAATAAATGCTGCACAAATATTTAAACAATACAGAATAAACTAGCTGGGTGCCAGTTCCCAAATTCCACTTCCTTCAGTTAAATTGGAAGTAAAAGGCTCAAGAAAGAAGCTAATTCGATTTATCTGAAGACAGGAAGCCAGACAAATCAGCCTGATGGACTCGCCTCCCCACTCTGGCCCCCGCTAATCTCAATCCTGTCATCGCTTTCCCTAAAACTCAGGAATATTTGTTTTGAAAAAGAAAGTATCCTAAATGCCTCAAGAA